GCGTCTGTGTGTCAAAGTTTCTGTGTAAAGGCTTTTTTTGTGTAAAAGCTTCTCTGTGCATGTCCCATTTTTCAGCCTTTGCAAACCGTTTGACCGGTCTTGGGACCATTTGACCAGCTTGGGTCCACAATTTTTTCAGGCCAATCGCAATGATGGCATTTGTCCTGAAAAAACCCGTGCCAACAGCTCTGCCGCAAACTATTTTCAAGGTTTCCTATCCGTCCAGCATGTTGTCTCGCTCCCTCCAGCGAAGCTCTCCGCAAGCTATTTCCACGGTTTTGTCCCGTCCAGCATGCTGTCTCGCTCCCTCCCAGCAAGGCTCTCCGCAAGCTATTTCCATGGTTTCCTCTCCGTCCAGCACGCTGTCTCGCTCCCTTCCAGCGAAGCTCTCCGCTAGCTATTTCCACGGTTTCCTGTCCATCCAGCATGCTGTCTCCCTCCCTCCCAGCGACGCTCTCCGCAACCTATTTGCACGGTTTCCTCTCCGTCCAGCACGCTGTCTCGCTCCCGCTCAGCGAAGCTCTCCGCAAGCTATTTGCACGGTTTCCTCTCCGTCCAGCATGCTATCTCGCTTCCTCCCGGCGAAGCTCTCCGCAACCTATTTGCACGGTTTCCTCTCCGTCCAGCATGCTGTCTCGCTCCCTCCCAGCGAAGCTCTCCTTAACCTATTTCCACGGTTTCCTCTCCGTCCAGGATGCTGTCTCGCTCCCTCCCAGCAAAGCTTTCCGCAAACTATTTGCACGGTTTTCTCTCCGTCCAGCATGCTGTCTCGCTCCCTCCCAGCGAAGCTTTCCGCAAGCTGTCTCGCTCCCTCCCAGCTCAGCAAGCTATTTCCACGGTTTCCTATCCGTCCAGCATGTTATCTCGCTCCCTCCCAGCGAAACTCTCCGCAAGCTATTTTCACACTTTCCTCCGTGCAGCATACTGTCTCCCTCCCTCCCAGTGAAGCTCTCCGCAACCTATTTGCACGGTTTCTTCTCCGTCCAACATGCTGTCTCGCTCCCTCCCAGCGGACTTTCCCCAAGCTATTTGCACGGTTTTCTCTCCGTCCAGCATGCTGTCTCGCTCCCTCCCAGTGGAGCTCTCCGCAAGCTATTTTCACGGTTTCCTCTCCGTCCAGCATGCTGTCTCGCTCCCTCCCAGCGAAGCTCTCCGCAAGCTATTTGGACGGTTTCCTCTCCGTCCAGCATGCTATCTCGCTTCCTCCCAGCGAAGCTCTCCGAAACTATTTCCACGGTTTCCCATCCGTCCAGTTGTCTCGTTCCCTTCCAGCGAAGCTCCCCGCAAGCTATTTGCACGGTTTCCTCTCCGTCCAGCATGCTGTCTCATCCTCTCGCGCTTCCTCCCAGCAAAGCTCTCCGCAAGCTATTTCCACAGTTTTCGTCTCCGTGCAGCATGCTGTCTTGCTCCCTCCCAGCGAAGTTTCCTCAAGCTATTTCCACGGCATCATCCCGTCCAGCATGCTGTCTCGCTCCCTTCAAGCGCAACTTTCCGCAAGCTATTTGCACGCTTTCTTCTCCGTCCAGCATCCGGTCTCGCTCCCTCCCACCGAAGTTTCCCCAAGCTATTTCCATGGTTTTGTCCCGTCCAGCATGCTGTCGCGCTTCCTCCCAGCACAGCTTTCCGTCCAGCATGCTGTCTCGCTCCCATCCAGCGCAGTTTCCCCAAGCTATTTTCCACGGTTTCGTCCCGTCCAGCATGCTGTCTCGCTCCCTCCCCGCACAGTTTCCCGAAGCTATTTCCACGGTTTTGTCCCGTCCAGCATGCTGTCTCGCTCCCTCCCAGCGAAGTTTCCCCAAGCTATTTTCCACGGTTTTGTCCCGTCCAGCATGCTGTCTCGCTCCCTCCCAGCGAAGTTTCCCGAAGCTATTTCCACGGCTTCATCCCGTCCAGCATCCAGTCTCGCTCCTTCCCAGCGAAGTTTCCCCAAGCTATTTCCACGGCTTCATCCCGTCCAGCATCCGGTCTCGATCCCTCCCAGCGAAGTTTCCCCAAGCTATTTCCACGGCTTCATCCCGTCGAGCATCCGGTCTCGCTCCCTCCCAGCGAAGTTTCCCCAAGCTATTTCCACGGCTTCATCCCGTCCAGCATCGGGTCTCGCTCCTTCCCAGCGAAGTTTCCCCAAGCTATTTCCACGGCTTCATCCCGTCCAGCATCCGGTCTCGTTCCCTCCCAGCGAAGTTTCCCCAAGCTATTTCCACGGCTTCATCCCGCCGAGCATCCGGTCTCGCTCCCTCCCAGCGAAGTTTCCCCAAGCTATTATTTCCACGGCTTCATCCCGTCCAGCATCCGGTCTCGCTCCTTCCCAGTGCAGTTTCCCCAAGCTATTTCCACGGCTTCATCCCGTCCAGCATCCGGTCTCGCTCCCTCCCAGCGAAGTTTCCCAAGCTATTTTCCACGGCTTCATCCCGTCCAGCATCCGGTCTCGCTCCCTCCCAGCGCAGTTTCCCCAAGCTATTTCCACGGCTTCATCCCGTCGAGCATCCGGTCTCGCTCCCTCCCAGCGAAGTTCCCCAAGCTATTTCCCCAAGCTATTTCCACGGCTTCATCCCGTCCAGCATCCGGTCTCGCTCCCTCCCAGCGAAGTTTCCCCAAGCTATTTCCACGGCTTCATCCCGTCCAGCATCCAGTCTCGCTCCCTCCCAGCGAAGTTTCCCCAAGCTATTTCCACGGCTTCATCCCGTCGAGCATCCGGTCTCGCTCCCTCCCAGCGAAGTTTCCCCAAGCTATTTCCTCAAGCTATTTCCACGGCTTCATCCCGTCGAGCATCCGGTCTCGCTCCCTCCCAGCGCAGTTTCCCCAAGCTATTTCCACGGCTTCATCCCGTCGAGCATCCGGTCTCGCTTCCTCCCAGCGAAGTTTCTCCAAGCTATTTCCACGGCTTCATCCCGTCGAGCATCCGGTCTCGCTCCCTCCCAGCGCAGTTTTCCCAAGCTATTTCCACGGCTTCATCCCCTCGAGCATCCGGTCTCGCTCCCTCCCAGCGCAGTTTCCCCAAGCTATTTCCACGGCTTCATCCCGTCGAGCATCCGGTCTCGCTCTGTCCCAGCGCAGTTTCCCCAAGCTATTTCCACGGCTTCATCCCGTCCAGCATCCGGTCTCGCTCCCTCCCAGCGAAGTTTCCCCAAGCTATTTTCCTCAAGCTATTTCCACGGCTTCATCCCGTCCAGCATCCGGTCTCGCTCCCTCCCAGAGAAGTTTCCCCAAGCTATTTCCACGGCTTCATCCCGTCGAGCATCCGGTCTCGCTCCCTCCCAGCGAAGTTTCCCCAAGCTATTTCTCCAAGCTATTTCCACGGCTTCATCCCGTCGAGCATCCGGTCTCGCTCCCTCCCAGCGAAGTTTCCCCAAGCTATTTCCCCAAGCTTATTCCCAAACGGCTTCATCCGTCGAGCATCCGGTCTCGCTCCTCACCATGCGCAAGTTTTCCCAAGATTACACGGCTTCATCCCGTCGAGCGATCCGGTCTCGCTCCTCCCAGCGAAGTTTCCCCAAGCTATTTCCACGGCTTCATCCCGTCCAGCATCCAGTCTCGCTCCTTCCCAGCGAAGTTTCCCCAAGCTATGTCCACGGCTTCATCCCGTCCAGCATCCGGTCTCGCTCCCTCCCAGCGCAGTTTCCCCCAAGCTATTTCCACGGCTTCATCCCGTCGAGCATCCGGTCTCGCTCCCTCCCAGCGAAGTTTCTCCAAGCTATTTCCACGGCTTCATCCCGTCGAGCATCCGGTCTCGCTCCCTCCCAGCGCAGTTTTCCCAAGCTATTTCCACGGCTTCATCCCCTCGAGCATCCGGTCTCGCTCCCTCCCAGCGCAGTTTCCCCAAGCTATTTCCACGGCTTCATCCCGTCGAGCATCCGGCCTCGCTCTGTCCCAGCGCAGTTTCCCCAAGCTATTTCCACGGCTTCATCCCGTCGAGCATCCGGTCTCGCTCCCTCCCAGCGAAGTTTCCC